CCCCGTCGGCGCCGCCGCCCGACGCGCCCGACGGGCGCCGCTGGCGCGTCTCGCTTGCGGCGCGCGAGCTGGGGCCGCCGGGCGGCGGCGCGTGGTGCGCCGACAGCGAGCGGCCGCTGCCCGCGGGGTGCGTGGGCGTCGCGTTGCTCGCGCGCAGCGCGTCGCCGCACGGCGTGGCTGGAGCGCCCGCGCCGACCGCGGCGCCGGCGACCGCGCTGTCCGCCCTGCAGACGAGCCCGTCCCCCATCCTCATCGACCGCACCGACGCGATCCGGCTCGGCGCCGCGCTCCCGCGCCCGCCGCCGCCGCCGTTGCTGCCGCCGCCTGCGCCGCCAGCGCTGCCGCCGTGGTGGCCGCCGGGCGTCGGGGGCACCGACGCGCCGCCGCCGCAGGCAAACGCGGCGCGTGACAGCGCTAGGTGCAAGTGTGAGTGCTCCCGCGACAGCGCGACAGTGCGCTCCCGCTGCTCCGCGAGCCGCGTGACCTCCCGCTCCGCCTTGGCGATGCGCTTGAGCGTCTTGCTCGCGCGCTCGGCGGCGTGGCCATCGTCGCCAGAGGCGACAGCCAGCAGCTGCAGCTGCGGGGCGGACGCGGAGCGGGGGGCGACGGCGGCGCTCTGAGCCTCTGCACCCACAGTACAAGCGGAGCAGGCTTGGGCCCGCATGCGCCGCCTCGGAATCTGCGCATGGCCGCGCCCACCTGCCCTGCCCTCCTGCTTGCTTGGTGGATCCGCAGAAGAGGCCGTTGGATTTGCCCTTGTCGTCTCGTTCCCTCCCTACCTTGGCTTTGGCGTGCTCTATGGTCTCAGCCGCAGCCTCCAGATCATCCATCAGCTGCATCTCGTCCCGCCTGCGCACAAGCGACCGCCGCGCCGGCCGCTTGCGCTCCCCCGCGGCCGCGGAAGGCTCGAGCGAGCGCCGCGGGGTGCGCGCGGGCGCCCCGGCGCCGCCGCCGGCGCCGCCGCCGTGTGCTGCGTCGCCGGCGTCGGCGTCGCTGCTGCCGCGGGCGCCGAGGAAGAGGCCTGCCGGGCGGCCGAGGCCGGGGGCGCGGCCCATCCAGTGCAGCCAGCGCTCCAGCCTGGTCGGCAGGCGGTGCGCCTCGTACTCCCTTGGGTGGAGGTTGGAGGAAGGCGCGCCAGAGGGTGGGGGGTGGGGAGTCACCGGAAGAAACACATCCCGTTTGAGGGGTGGAGGCACCCAAGGCTGTGAACTCGGCTCGGCCAAAGCGCGGCGCAGGGCAACATGTCGGTGAGCGCAAAAGGCACCCAGCACCCGTGGGCGCGAGAGGCATCGAGCTTAGATTGGGAGCGACGCCGACGGAGCGGCCTGCCGACGAGGCAGCGCCCCATTCTCGCCCCGCCCCGCCCCGTGCCCCACCGTTGCAGCTCTGGGTAAGGCCACTGGGTGACGTCTGTCACCAGAATGGCGTAGTGCTGCGCGTTGACCGCCACCTTGGCGCGCTCACTCGGGTCCGCACTGCAGGACGGGGGCGGCGCGGGGCCAGGAGCATTTTTTAGGCAACCGCGCAGAGCAAACGGGCCTCGCAGCAGCCGGAACGCGCCTCGCGGCTGCCCCCTGCGAAACGCCACCTGCCCGGGCCTCCGAGCCGGCTTCCCCCGAGGGTGCGCCCGGCTGCGCCGCGCTGGGCCACCAGCGCGCATGGGGCCGTGCTTACTTAGCGCCATAGGGCTTGTACGCCGGGTTGTCCGCGTTGATGGTCTTGCGGAACCGCACGCTCGGCTTGGCCAGGAGCGGCTGCTCCCGCCAGCCGTCGTAGCCGTCCAGGTCCGACTCAGACAAGCTGCCCGCCTTCTGGAGGGAGCCCTCCGGCAGCGCCTTCCACCAGTGGTACGCCACGCGGCGCGCCTCGCCGCCCGCCTCGGCGCCTGTGGCGGGAGGCAGGAGGAGACGGAGATGAATGGGGCAAGCCAGCCTGCAATTTTCGATTCTAGCCGCGGATCCGGCATGCAAACCAGCCTTGGACCAAGGGTTGCGGGCAACGGACTCCGATCCCTGTCAAGATCATTCACAGCCGGTCCTGCCTAGCACAGCCCACGGAATTCGCCCGCTGCGCGCACCTGCCGGCTCGCCCTGCACTGCCCACACGTCCACGATCGACGCGTCCACGCCGCTCGAGCCGCTCCCGTCGCTGCTGGCGCCCCGCGGCGTGCGCATGCCCGCCATGACGAGCCGCACGTCGTCGGGTGCGACAGCCAGCGGCCCCGCAACGTGGCGCGCCGCGGGCACGTCGCCCGCCCCGACCTGGGCACCGCCGACGGGGCCGGGGCCCAGCGAAACCGGCGAGGGCGCGCCAGGCCAAGCGCCCGCCGGCGGCGGCGTGGCGCGGCTGGCGAGCGGCTGCGGGGTCGGCGCCGGCGACGCAAGGGAGGCGGCGTGAGCGTCAGACGCTGTCAGCGGGCCGCTGCCTGCCAGCAGTGCCGCCGCGGCCGAGGCGTCCGCACAGCTGGGTTCCCGCCCAGGGCGCGGCCTCTGTGCATCCTCCTCCCCGCCGCTGCCACTCCTGCCGCTGCCGCTCGCACCGCTGCAGCTGCGGGCGGTGCTTGCGCCGCTGCCGTTGTCGCTCCCGCCGCTCTCTGCGGTCGTAGATAGCAGCGCGGCCTGCCGCCGCGGCGGTGACGGCGGCCACGCGCGCCCCCCCACGCCGTCAGGCGCGCGGACGGCGTCGGCGACCACGGCGGCCGCTGCGGCGTTGCCTTCGGCCATGCGGCTTGCCGTCCGCGGCGTAACCGGCGGGGGCGTTGACAGCAGCAGGTCGATGCCTCCTGAGCTGCCGGGGCGCAATATAGCATCCAGGTTCTCCTCTGTGATCGTGCGCATGTGCGCAACCCGGTAGTGGTGGTGCGCTGCAGCTGCCGCCGCCGCGGCAGCTGCAGCAGCCTGGGGCGGCTGGGGCATGGCCGCAGCAGCCGCAGCGTCCCCGAGGGTATTTACGGCCGACGCGCCACCTGCGCTCATCTCCTGCGGCGGCGGCGGCGCCACGGCCGGCCCCTGCGGCTGCGCCGGCAGCGGGCTGCGCATCAGCCGCATGCGGGTGGCGAGCGTCGCCGGGGTCGCCCCCAGCACGCTCGCCGCACCCAGCCCGCCGCCTGCGCCAGCCGCGCCGCCCGCCGGGCTCGGCGGCACCGACGCCGCCGCGCTGCTGCCGCCCCCGCTGCTGCCCGCCGCGTACTGCGCGCTGCCGTGCGCCCCTGCACCCACGCCTGACGCAGAGGCGCTCCAGGGCGTGCCTGACAGCGGCCCCTGCCCCGGGCTGCCGCCCGTGACGATGAGGCTGTTGGTCGCGAGGGAGTTCAGCTCCGAGGGCGGCGGGGTCAGGCTCGGGGCGCGCGAGCCCATGACAGAGGCCGCTGAGAAGAACTTGGAGATGCCCGCGCCGATGCCCCGCAGGCTGCTCATGACCGACGCGGAGCGGCCGTTGTTTTCGCGCGCAAACGCGCTCAGCAGCGCGCCGCCGTCCTCGCCGGCGCCGCCGCCGCCGCTTGCGCCGCGGCCGCCCTGCGGGGTGAAGCCGGAAGGGGGGTGCGTGGGTGCAGCCGCTGACTTGGGAAGTTATTTGAGCTTCTGTGAAAGCCTCCGCCCCTGCCTGTCATGCATGTCACCTCTCTCCACCGCCTCGGGATGGCACGCCGCATGGCATGGCGCGCCGCATGGCGTGGCACGGCGCATGGCAGCCAGGCACCCTTCCAAGCGCTCTTGCCGCAGGGTGCCCCCTTAGACCCTCGTCCGCACCTCGCCGCCCCCCTCTGATGCCAGGTTCAAGTCGAGCAGCATCCTCTTGACCTTCTTGCTGATGCTCTTGGCGTCCGCCTGGTGCGTCAGGGTCAGCCAGAAGTTCGGGTCGTCACCTGGCGGCGGGACGGGCGTGGGAGGTTGGGTGCGAAGGGACGAAGCAAGGCGGCGTCTGGAGAGCCAAAGCCTCCACACCAGATGCTGAGGCGTGCCAGATCCGCGGCCGGCCCGGGAGCAGCCGCTGGCCGCTGGTGCTGCGAAAGCAATGCCCATGCACCCTCCATGCATGCTCGCACCTCGCGTGAGGTAGCTGTGGCGGATGATGACGTAGCGCCTGAAGTGCCAGAACAGGATGCACATGGCGTACACATTGTACAGCACCACCAGGACAAAGTGCAGCCTGAGAGGGCGGCACGCGCGGCGCAAGGGTGGGTAGTGCGCTGCAGTCAACACCAGATCCCAATCATGCAGCGGCAGCTTGCATGCACCGGCTTTCGGCCTGTATGAGTTTGGCTGTCACTGGCGGGGGCCCAAACGCTCCCCCGCACCAGAACTTGGGCGAGCGGTCCGGCACCGCCGCGATTGTGAGGCGCATCAATTTGCTGGGGTTGCCCTCTGCGTCCTCCATCAGCCGCTTGTTGCCGTGCGCTGAGGTGTAGTGCAGAGGGATCACTGCGACGGCGGGGGGGGGGGGGGGCGCTGGGTGAGGCTTAGGCAGCCTCATGTCGTGTGGGCCTCCGCTCAGCATGCCTCCTCCAATCAGGGCCTGCTGGCTTGCTCCCGCCTTTGCCGCGCCCCGCCTGCCACGAGCCTCGGCCTTCTGGGCAGTTCTGCGTCCACTCACATACAGCACAGCCAACGGCCGCCATTGGCAAGAAGAGGCTTATTCCGATCTTCAGTGACCACGTCATCACCTTGAAAAGGGCAGGGCAAAAGTCATGTCAGATTTCACGCACAAGCATGTCACAAACGAAAGGAGTTCTGCGGCCCATATGGGATTGCTGGATTTTATGCTGCAACTAGTGCTGCTGATCGAGTAGGCTGCGGGTGCTGGGCCGCTGTTCCTGCTGCACTGTGCTGTTGCTGCTGCCGCTGCTGCTGCTGCTGCCGCTGCTGCTTCAACAGGCTGCCCTTCCATGTGCTGTTGATGCTGCCGGTGCTGGTGCTGTTCTGGTGCTGCCGCTGCAACAACAGTGGGGTTCACTCTCCTCCTCTCCCGCTGCGCCACGCCCACACCGACCCGCCAACTGTACTCCGCCCACCACTGCGTCCAGCCCCGCGCTGCTCAGGATCTCGTTCTCCGGCGTCACGATCGCGTTGACCAGCCATTGCCTGCAGACATGCGGGACGGGATGGGCACAAAGCACCGCTCTGTGCACGCTCCTCAGCTGCAAATGATGCCGCATGCTCCTGATGGCACGGTACACCCAAGGCCGCTCAGCCCACAGGCCCCTCTCACCACAGAGATGCCCATCCGGTGGTTGGGAGCCCCCGAGGCTTGATCGTGACCGAGGGCGACAGCTGGTGAAGAGGGATCACGAGCACCGCCCATAAGGCGCTGGATGAGCATGCTGGCTACCTGACTGTACTGTCCAAGCGAGTCATACAAAACTTCAAGCTTTGTCATTTGCAGTTCTCAGGATTGCTGGACACGACACTCCAGCGGCTCATCAACAATGCTGGCACACCGGCAGCGGAGCACATCAGCAAGCACGTCCAGCAGCGCACCAGCCTGTGCCTGTAGTGCCGCGGGAAGGCCGAACGCTGCAGGAAACAGAAAGCCACGAAGCATATTGCTCCCAGCACCGTATTAAACCAGAGCCTGCGAGGGCAGCCGGCCCTGGTCAGCGATGGTCGGTGGCTGGCTCACCCGGTGGGACCCTTTCAAGCCCTGCTTACGCCGTGAACAGCTGGTGATCGGAAACCTGGTTGTCTGTGATGCCAAAGGTGCCGAGGATGCCGGGGTCCACCTCTGCGTACCCCTCCTGGGTCCCTGAGCTCGAAGCGCTCTCCATGCCGGGCTCCCTTGGCCTGCAGCTGCCAATTCAAAGCTAATCTAGCTCTTCATGATGCTTCCGCAGCACCAGGTGCCTGACCTAGCCGGCCGCTGTGATCTTCAAAATTTGAACGAGCGCGACCGTGTTGTATCCATGTAAAAAGTTATCAAAATCAGTTCAAGCGTGCGGTGTAAGGAGTTTCACGTGTCGCTGTGACCGGTGATCCCCCCGTGCCAGCGAGCTCGCACCTGAGCAGCGGCACCAGCTCGAGCTCAGCTGCTGCTGCTGCGGTCATCGGCAGGGCGGGCCTAGGGCGGGCCCCTGCAAAGCGGGTGGATGTAGCATTTCTAGCCACAGGCCTCGATTGTTGTTCTTTGAAATGCTGCATGGCAGAAATCGCGGCTATTCCGCCCTCTCTCTGCTGTTTGGAATGTACGGTTGTGGGGTCAATCATCAGCGTTTGACCAAGTAGACTTCCCCTCGCCTTGTAATGTAATTTTGTCCCCTCACTTGCATATGCATTGTGTACGTCGCTCCAGTCTTCATCTTCTTACTATAGCAGGAATTGGCACATGCAGCACTGACTTGTCCACTCTTCCGCACTCGCTCCACAAGACCACAACCATAGCCTGAAGCGCAACGCCCCCATGTACCTTGTCTGGTGCGTGGCGCAATATCCCGTCGCCATCGTGAAAGCGCCACAAGCAGCATCTGGCACAGAGCAGCGGTCACCTCGGCATGGCGCCTGGTGAGGCAGCGCGGATCTTGTCACGCCAGACACCAGATAGGCACGCACCATCATTCGTCGAATCATCTGCATGCACATTGGAGCATTTGCCTGCATTACGTGGCGCATCTACTTGAGCGCAGCGAAAAGTGATTCGCCATGTCAAGTGATCCGTTCATATCTGCGCTCCGCTGCAAAGCAGCGGCACCGCACACCCTGGCGGGTGGGTGGGCGGGTGGCAACACATTGCGACGGGATGCAGAGGGCACGGTGCGGGCAGGTGGAGCTTCGAAGTGGCTGATGATCAATAGTCGAACAACGTACGCCAATCAAACCCTGCCCAACCATACGCGCGCACTACACTCAAGATCTACGAGCAAGGCTAGAACAGGCCGATATCCGACCATATCAGACCGTAAAAGCAAGCTCTATCGCAATATACCAGAAGATCGAGCGAGATCACCCGGTTGTGTTCCCTCCACTTTGATCACAAGTCTGGCCACAGCACCAGCAGCACCCACCAGCAGCAGCCGCGATGGAAATAGACAAACCGCAAAACATAGAGGGGATAGCCAAGCTCGATGAAGCGGAGGCAGGGACCAGTGCGGCGGGCAAGCGGCTACGCGTCGACCCAACAGTGGACGGCAAGGCAGCGCCGTGGGTCGAGAAATACCGGCCAAAGACGCTCGACGACGTGGCGGCGCACAAGGATATCATTGACACAAGTGAGCGCATGCGCATGGCACCACACAACCCCGCAGCTGCCAACGCAGCTCATTCAACCACGCACCGGGTCGGCTGGAAGTGGAGCTGTGTAATGCAAGGCCGCCAGCCCCGTCCGCGCTTGCGACCTGCTCGCTGCCGCGCCGCGCACGACCCCAGAAAACCCCTGCCTCGCGCCGCCCTTGGCAGTTCGACGGCTGACTCGGGAGAACCGGCTGCCGCACCTGCTGCTGTACGGGCCGCCCGGCACCGGCAAAACGTCCACAATCCTGGCGGTGGCGCGCCAGATCTACGGCAAGGCGCTGCAGAACATGACGCTGGAGCTCAACGCCTCGGACGAGCGCGGCATTGACGTTGTGCGGCAGCAGATCCAGGACTTCGCAAGCACGCGCAGCGTGTACAGGTGTGGCCGCGCGCGCGTGTGTGCGCGCTACGGTTGGCTCAAGAGGCCCGGGGTCAGCAGTGGGCCGCAAGACAGGCCAAGGGGGCAGGCAGGCCCAGAATCTCTTTTGTAAGGGATGCAGGGTGTTCAGCAGTGCGTCTTATGGGCGCGCACACCCGCCACAAGCAGTTTGCGCTACCTTAGGCCTGATTCGGGGCGACGCGCTGGGTGGCTCTGCAGCCAGCGCCCACCTGCACAATGCTGCAGCCAGCAGAGCGTGCGCCTCCTCATAATCCGGCGCGCCGCGGCCGCTGTACTGCCGCTGTACCGCTGCAGCAACACATTCAAGCTGGTGATATTGGATGAGTGCGACGCCATGACCAAGGACGCACAGTTTGCGCTGCGGCGAGGTGCGACGCAGGGAGAGAGTGCGTATGCATGTGCTCAGCGTATTGCAGATGTCAACTGAAGAGCCGCTGTGGGATGCGTGCAGACCCAGCTGCACCCCTGCACTTTGCATAAATCATGCCCGTTGCCTTTACGCAGCGCATGCAGCAGGGCCAGTCGCGCCGTGCCCCAGGCTCGCTATTCGCTCGCGCCCTGCATTGAACGCCCCCGTCCCCCAACCCAATGCAACCCAACGCAACCCAACTCAATCACACCCGTGTTTTTCGTCCCGTCCAGTGATTGAGAAGTACACGCGCAACACGCGCTTCTGCCTGATTTGCAACTACGTGATCAAGATCATCCCCGCGCTTCAGAGCCGCTGCACGCGCTTCCGCTTTCCCCCGCTGGACCCTGAGCACGTGCGGCTGCGGCTGGAGCATGTTGTGGAGCAGGAGGGGTGAGTGGGTGCCGCGCAAGAGGCAAACATGCCAGCCGGCTGGGGGCAAAGACGCCGGGTCAAGCGGCAAAGGGAGGTGCTGGGCGCCGGCTGAGCACCGCGCACCCAGTTCTGGGCCCGGCGTTGGCTTGCGCGCATGCACCTGGCGTGTTGGTCACAGCTGTGGTGGCACCTGCCCCGCCCTCCTATCCATGCCCTCCCAAGGCTGCTCGCCTGTCAACTTGCTGTGAAGTCGCTGCTGCGATGATGCTGGCTGTTGGCCATGGTGGCCCCAGCCTGAACTATTTGCGCGGGCCCCTGCGGGTCCTCACCCCTCCCATCTGAAACCTCCCATGATAGATAGATAGATAAGTTACTCATGCCATAGCATCACTGCCATCGGCCCCGCGCTCATCAGAGTGGACCTCCTCATCCCCCCCATGCTCACGCCCGCGCCCGCAGCGTCAAGATGGGCCCCGGCGGCGTGGACGCGCTCATCACCCTGGGGGCCGGCGACATGCGCCGCAGCCTCAACATCCTGCAGAGCGCCCACATGGCGTTTGACGCGGTGGACGGCGACGCCGTGTACCTCTGCACGGGCAGCCCCATGCCGCGCGACATCGAGGCGGTGGTGAACTGGCTGCTGAACGAGGACTTCAACGAGGCCTTTCAGCGTGAGGCGCGCGCGGGAGGAGGAGGCGGGGTTTGGTCTTGGGGTGTGTGGGCGGGGG